TGTGAATTGTCAAACACTACCAAAATCGCTCTAGAAGCTCACCACTCGAATCGAAAATTGAGAGCGGCAAATTAACAGATCTGAGCGGCAAATTAACAGAGCTGAGCGGAGATACAATTTTTTTAATTTGTATCAATGTTAAGTACTTTGGTTTGGAGTTTCTTTTTCGCGGCATTGATTTAATAAAAAAAAAAGATTAAAATTCTTGGTTAAATTAATGAAAATTAATTTACGAAAACATATGCCAGGGAATGCTTTAACTCCAAAACGTAGATTTGTTATCTAATAAATATGTGAAAGCTATGCAAATATGCAAACTCATTGGTGATTTGCCGTCGGCATTTGGGTCGCAAAAATCGTTTTTTTTTAACGATTCTTATTGTAGTTGCTGCGCTATTTTCAATGCAACAAACCCCTAGGTGCCTTAGTTTTTTCCCAAACTCACTTTAAAGATGGACACATTGACAATAAATAATATAAAAAAAACTTTTTAAATGGACTAAAAAGTAGAAAATATTAATATTATTAATATTAAATTAATTTTATTTAAAGAAATGGCGTGTCGTCTATTTCCGCCGATATGCGTGTATAAACCCTCCTCAAAGTCTAGCCAAAAAGCCAGCAACTCACACAACAGGTTCCCCAGAGCAATTCGCTCGAGAAAGTGGTACCCGGTACACGTAATACGCGGCACACAGCACAACAATCCGCCAAAACAGGCAACCCGGCCCAAAATCACCACCGTAGAAGGCAGAAACCCCGAGCGGCAGTGCAGGAGCCCAAGAATTACCCTTAAAACGGCCACAGGAGCTTAAAAAGACCAACTGGTCCGAAGGTAATTCCCGGACTGGTCCCCGACTGGTTACCAACTTGTCCCACGAACTAGTTACCAACTGGTCCCAAAGTGGTTACCAACTGGTCCACCTATACCTCAAGTGGTCCACAAGTCACTTCACTTACAAAGCATTCGATTTAGTTGACAATAGTCAAACTAATTTTATTTAAAGAAACGGCGTGTCGTCTATTTCCGGTGTAGCAAACGTAGTACATAGAGCGACATCTAGATGTCATCTACCTCGCCCTATTCACTATGCTTTTTTATAGGAGCTTTTCAAAGCTTTGCTTTGGTGTCGGAACACAACATTGAAAGTTTCTGGATCCACAACATTGAAAGCTTCTGGAACACAACATTGCAAGTTGATAAAAGCGTTGTAAAAACGTACAAAAGCAGCAATTGCACTTGTTAGCAAAGTGGTTTTTCTCGAAAAGTTATGTTTGAGTTTTATAAACATTTATTTCGAGAAAATATGCCATATGCATATAACCTAAGCAAATACCTTTTCTTAAAATCTCAAACCTTTTACTCGATTTGTTCAAATAAATTTAAGTGAAAGTTATGAAATTTTAACTAAAGCAATTGCTTAGTTTTTATGCATACGGACCAATGTGTTGAATGATGATTTTTCACTGCAATACTCGTATTACATGTAAATAATGGGGCTCATTTATGGTCAAAATAAAGTTGACACTAAAGTTAGTGGAATAGGTATCTGTGAAAATAGCTGCAACTAACTTTCTTCTTATTAGGCATGCGCATATGGATGCTTGTAGTACAAAAAGCATGCGATCAACTAATTAGCAACGAAATTCAAAATGATATTGTTTGCACTTGCACTTATACTATAATTACGGTGACCATCCGTTCTGTACTGTTTTTCAAAGGTCGGTCCTGCGTAGTTTCTCAAACCTAAAAAACCTGAAAATGTACTGATTTTTTCCAAGTGTCCTGCATTTGTCCCGCATTATATTCGTTATTTTAAAATTATCGGACAATGGATGCATTTTTTCAAAAAAGTGTTTTTTCGTACTTTTCGTATCTTTTCTTCATATCTCATGAGGGTATTGATATGCCTCCTACCAAAATATATATGTAACTTGTGGCGACTTCAATGAAAATTATTAGTGCTACAGGCGACCATTTGCATTTTGTCGTCAAAGTCGAAAAAAGTGAGATTTTCAAACAAATACGCAGATTCATTTGGTTATTTTTTTCATTATTTTAAAAATTCGATAAAGAGTACATATCATTACAGTAAATTTTGAGTCAAAGATAATGAAAATCGGATTAGATATGTAGATGCTATGGAGCGCAATCTGTACAAATTATATATTTTTGTAAAGGGCACTTTGTAACTCGTCGTTTAC